AGGGGGTGGTCCTAGCTTAGGATCATATAAAATAAATGATTAATGTTCAAAGTGGGACAACAAAGGGTATAATTATTTAAAAGATATGTCAAAGATGGTTTTTCTTAATCTCAAAATTTGTTTTTGCCTATATTGATAGATGCTAATCTCTTTTGAAAATAATGATTGATTTGAAAAGCTCTAAATTTAAATGAAGAGAAGAAATAGGTGAGTTCGGTTTGGGATCACAATCCAAAAATATAATGCTCATCATTATTTAAGAAACCAAACCATTTGCTTTTTAATTTTTGGTCTTTATGACATTATCTTAGCCAAGCCTTTGTCCTCAATGGTTTATTTGAGAAAAGAAAAGAGTTTTTTTAAAGCAAAATGAGGGATTGTCTCCTAGTTGGCCCTCAAAAAGGTTTAATGGAAAAAGAAAAAAATTTCAGACTTTAATAGAATGAGACATTGCCCTCAAACATTTACATGACATGCTTTAAAATTTGATCAAGTTTTAAATGGATTTGTCATTATATTTCTTGGTGAATGAAGACATATGCCAAATAACAAGTTCTAGCAAACACCTCTTGTTTTCAAATATAATAATAAAAAATTGTAAAAAAAGAGTAGAAACTACTTCTTCTTTCAAAAATACCACTCAATCCATTAAAAAAAAAACTTTCAAAAAATAGAGTTTAAAATCCAACAAGAGATTAAAAGACATTATTTGCAAATCTCTAGCACATCGTCATGTTGCAAATTCATAAGACTCTATAGTTACATCTCTAATCCTATATATATATTACCTTTTTAAAACAAGTTATCAATTGATGAGAGATAACCTATCAAACACTCATCTTGGATGTAGGTAACATCTAGCTTCATTAAGCAATAACAAAAGTTCTTTCTTGATGTAGGTAAAAATTGACTCGTAGAGGGATTGAAGTTATAAGAAGAAGAAATAGAGTTGGCATTTTTAAGGTAGACTTTTCAAAATGATCCTTTATAATTGATGCTTCATTTCCTAATAATTTTAACTAAATGAATTAAAAAAAAAAACCCAAGTGTGATGCGTCATTTCTTAGAGAACCTACTTCTTGTTGAAGGCTCTACTCATCTTGGATTCTATTCTAATTGTCTATTTTTGATCGAGTTTTGATGTAGAAGATTCTTTGAAAGAATTCAGATTTCATTAAGTGTAATCTATGTTTTTTTTTAATTCCTATCAAGACTTAAATGTATATATAATAAAAATTAAATATATATATATATATATATATTCAAGCTAGATTGGATACACATGCTTATTATCGACGAGCTCAAAATCATGTAAGGACTTATGATTTAGATGAGAATGGGTCGAGTTGGATTTTAAGTTCTCATTGAGGGGGTCCAATCCTACAAATACTACAAACGAGTTGGGAGATTTGCCTACCCATGATCTTGTAAAACTTTTGATAAGATGCCGGAGGAGAAATAACTATCACTAAGGATATTTCCTACATCAACTATGGAATTAGATGTAAGAAGATCGTCATTGCATCCGAAGACATCAAGTACATTTTAAAAATGTGACAAATAGTCTTTTCATTTATGATAAGAGATAAAATATCATAAAATTGCTAATTTATACTACAATAAGCTTTAAAACTTTGCATTACAATAAATTACTTTTTAAATTTTTTTCTCTCCTTGACCATACATCACTAAAGTTAAGCTTTAGGAGAGAACTTGATCTATTAGTTATAGTACTTAAAGATAACTTAGAAGACTTGTCTAGCATACAAGTTAGACACTCAAAATTAAAAGTAAAAGTTGAAAATGAAACTTATTTTTGTCAAATAAGTTGGCTTAAAAAATGATAGATAGGATGCCCAAGCCAATGGTGTCATGTTTTAGTAAGAGCACTGAGTTCTTAGAAAAATTGAGAAACAACAATGGTAATAATTCAGAAAAGATATAGAGACCGTCCTTACTTCATTTGGAGAAAAAAAAATTCTTGGAAAAGAGATCATTAAGACAAAAATAAAACAAGTGATACAAACAAAACATTATTTTCACATGCAAATTGTTGAACATAAAGTAAAGGTTTCGTAATGTGTGGTACATGTAGAATGTTTGACATTTTATGCAGGCAGTTTGGTGTGTGAAAAGTTATAGAAACAATATTATATGTACCAAAGTCCTTACTATCTCCTACTTGCAACTAAGTAGTCCTACCATATGACTTAGATTGAGTCATACCCGTAAGATCAAGAGTGACATGATGAGTGGCACAAGTATCTGAGAACTATTGAGCAGGAGGAACTGAGTTGCTATGTTAGGCCACATGAGCTACCTACTGGACATGTTTATTTGATAGCTTTAGGTGCATGATTAAGTAGTGTGATTCCATCCATTATATAGTTGGCAATGAGTGTTTTGGATAGGTGAAGTATTAGACGACTAAGACTGATTTGATGACATTATTCTGTGCAAATTGGACGGCTATCAAGAGGAGGAACTACCTTTATTGTTCTAGCGCTTTCAGTTTCTACTCCGATTATCAAATAAAGAGGAGGACAGCTACTGCTGGTTGGAGTACTATTCTTGGGTTTACCATTGTCATGGGAAAAAACGGAGAAATTTGCAAAGATAAGGACCGGAGTGCCCTGATCGACAATAAAGTCTACAAGTAAAAAAATCTTGATTGAGGAACTCATGAATTAGTAAGAGGCTATGCAATTCAATTCTATGAAGGAAACTAAATCAGCTCTAGATAACAAAGTCAGTACAATGTTTTTGAATTCTTCAGTACAATGTTTTTGAATTCTTCACGCAATCTCTTGAAAACATAGTGATTGAAATCTGAAACAGACCATGGTTTAGCTGTTGTAGCTAATTCATCATTAATTTGGTTTGCTTTTTGCATATAAAAAAATATAAAATCATCATTGTATTTGAGTTTTTGAAATGATATATGAAGTTGCATAATTCGAGTATTGGATGAAGATGCTAATACGGATTCTAAAGTAAATCAAACGCAACGAAAAAAAAGATGCAATTAATAATTAAATAAAATACCTCAAGTGACAAAGAGAGGCAATCAAGATACTCATTGGTAGTTGATCTTGCTAAATCCGAACAACGAAGGCTGGATTTTATTGCTAAAGAGAAGCGTGCTCATTAATTTGATGAGATGGTGGATGTCACCTAGATCCATCCATAAAGCCGAATAACCTTTAACCATGCAAATAAAGGGATTCGTGTGAAGTTCTCAATACAAATAATTTATTGTAGTCAATTTAAGTGAAATATAATGATGGACATTAGTTAAAAGGAATAGTGTTAGCAAACAAGAGAAGAGGCTGCTACTGCAAGACTATCAAAGGAGAGGTTTCCCTACTAGTTTTTTTTATTGAAGGTTGCTACTGTAAGATTCTATCTATTTTTGGTGCTAAAGTTGCAGTATGATTCAGTATATGGGATTGATCGGCTTCCATGAGGCAGTCATGGAATTGCTTTGATATCAAGTTAAGAGAAAAAGGCAAAGAAGAGATACACAAATACGCTTATGATTGCCGAAAAAAAAAAAAAAGAGCCTTCGAAATAGTGGTATCGTATTGTATCTATGTGCAAGGTTCTATACAATATAGAAAATATTACAATTGCTATAATACAGACAACATTATAGAAATTGACAATATATATAAGAAAACTAACTCTTATGATTTAATAGAACTTTTCTTCATTATTATCATCATTAGAAAATCATCAATAAAAAATAATTTATTTTACAAGAAAAATATTTTTTAAATGCATCCCAACAATGAAAAATAATTTATTTTTTAAAAAATATTTTCTACAAAAGAACGTACAATTTATGTACTTTATGATAAATTCAATTTAAATAGCACAATAATAAAATTACTCAAAACACGATGCCATAGTTTACTGTCAAACATTTTAATTGTTTTGCCTCACAACATAACACATCACAATAAGCGCAACAACACAAGAAGAATCAAATTAGTTCACTATCGTCCCAACTTGAGTCAAGGGTGGAATCATAATATTCCACCTTTTCGTTTTGGTATGTCTCGAAACTATTGTCCATTATTAAAAAAAAAAAAAAAAAGTCAAACTGTTAATTATTTTTTCTTATTATACCTCCAAGTGCTACTCTCTTAAATTTTTTAATTCCACCAATTTCTCCTTTATTTATATTCATACCATTAGATACTTCAAAATTTATTTCAAATAAAAAACAAAAATTGTATTTTCTTTTACTTTTGATGAACAAGAAAAAAGTAAAGTATCTTAACTTAATAGAGTGACTGTTTATTTAATTTTGTGATTGACAAAATAATTGATGAAATTTTTATTGATTTGTTACTGATTATTGCATTGGAGAATTAGGAATCTATTTCACCTAAAAAAATGATTTGTTTGAAGTAATGAAGGAAATATTTCTAAGGTTTTATTTTGATATTTTACGAAAATAAAATTAATTATCTCGTATAAATTCAGATATTATTTACTAGCTAAATTATGTAAAATAATAATAATAAATTGATGCATGATTGATGATTTGAGCCTATGTTAATTAGTTAGTAGAAAATAAATCCTTTAATACTAAACTAATTATATCGATTTAATAAATAATCTATCAATTTAATAAATATTTCATTTTAAAAAACAAAATCAGAGTAACAGTGAAATGTAATTTTAAAACAAAAAGATATGATTTGTTATTATTATTATTATTATTATTATTAATCTGTATGAAAAGTGTGAAAAGTGGATGGAGATTTTATGCCAAAGTGGAAGTATTAGTTTCATTTTGATACTTCTTTCCTAAAGCAATAATGAACAAGTGTTCTCCCTATAAATTATCCCCTCTACACTGCTCAGTCGCCTCCCCTCACTCCTCCTCCTCCTTCGCAGGAAGTACTTACGCACTTTCTCTCTCATCCTCAATTTCTCTAATCTCTGATCACAAACTCCACCCCCCACCAAGAAAACGAGACAAAACAAAGATGGATGGACCCGTTTTCGTAATTGAAGCATCCGAAGCTGAATCCATGGCAAAACAATCAGGCCTCACTGTCCTCCAGCTCCTCCCTACCCTAGTCAGATCAGCCCAGACCTTGGCTCGCTCGCCGATCTCCAACTACCACGTGGGCGCCGTCGGTCTCGGATCCTCCGGCCGCATCTTCTTGGGTGGCAACCTCGAATTCCCTGGCCTCCCTCTCCACCAGTCTGTCCACGCCGAGCAATTCCTCATCACCAATCTCACTCTCAATGCGGAACCCTCCCTCAAATACATTGCTGTCTCCGCCGCCCCTTGTGGCCACTGCCGTCAATTCTTGCAGGAAATCCGCCACGCCCCTGATATACAAATCCTCATCACGGGTGACAGTAATAACAACCCGAGTTACAAGAATGATTTAGCAAATAAACAACAATTTGAGCCCTTGTCGTGTCTTCTACCGCACAGGTTCGGACCTGATGATCTTTTGGACAAGGATGTTCCCTTGCTTTTGGAAACCCATCATAATAACCTGTCCTTTCTAGGTGATGCTAACTTACCAAATGGTATTAGTGCTTCCTTTGATGATCTGAAAAATGAGGCTTTAGAGGCGGCCAATAAGTCTCATGCTCCCTATACTAATTGTCCATCAGGGGTGGCCTTGATGGATTGTGAAGGGAAGGTGTATAGAGGGTCGTATATGGAGTCTGCCGCCCATAATCCGAGCATAGGCCCGGTGCAGGCGGCTTTGGTGGCATATGTGATGGCAGGTAGGGGTTTTGGGTATGAAAGGATTGCTGCTGCTGTGTTGGTGGAGAAACAAGGGGCCAAGGCGAGACAGGAGCAGTCGGCGAGATTGCTTTTGAAGGAGATTTCACCCAAGTGTGAGTTTAAGGTGCTTCATTGTGCTTCCAGTTCCACTTTCAATGGTTGTAATCAGAATTCTTGTTGAACGTTGCTATATATTTTTGTTGGTAAGTCCTCTCTTATTGTATGTGTTACAGACTCATCTGTGTTGTTGTTAAGCTGCAGTGCCAATTTATTGGTCAATGAAAGATGCAAATAATTGGATTGAATTTAATAGATCAATCAATGAATAATGGTTCTTTTTTTTCCCCCTGGGAACAGAAGCTTTAGATCTTTCCATTACCAATTCTGAAGTTTGATGCTTTCATCGGTTGAATGCCAAAACTTTGCAGCAAACAGGTCCGACTAGTGACTGCCAAAGCAAATTCTTTTCCTTTTTCCAAGCCTCTTGTTGTTCTTTTTCTATTTATTGAAGATGAAATTTCGAAGCACCGAAAGATAAAAGTAGAAAAATTTACACTCGCCCAACAGAACCTCTGACTAATTGTCTCTTCAGGTGCTTGTGGAAGAAATCCTGAGGGTGCTGGTTAAGGGAATGTGCTTCTCTCCCTCCTTAGCCATTATGATTCAAACTTCAGGCTAATCTGTAAGAAGCAAAACTCCCATGGATCTCCGATCTTGACATTAGTTTGTTTTATTGAACCGGAGATGTGGACTTGGTTGATGCTTGAAGGAAATCGAGAATACCTTTGATAGAAAAGGGGAAAAAGGGAGAAGCGTTTGTGGAAGAAAAATGGGTTAAAAATTATTTTTAGTGTCTTTACCAACGTGAGGATCGACTGTATCCATCCTGTACATTATTTCTTTATGCACCAGCCCTCTGTCAGTTGTTATTTATTAACTCCTTCAAGAATGAATACCATCAAGAATTAACTATAGACACATTGATGTAAGACACCTGTCTCGTTGACTTCTTTGAAGATCAAATGACCTATTTGATTTTTATCTTTCTTATTTTCAAAAAGCAAAAAGGTAATAAAATAATTAAAAAATTAATTTAACAAATTAACTTAAACAATGTGAAAAAATAATAATATAAAAAATACATTTAACATTTTCTCAATTTACAATATGCAACTATAACGAATTATACATTCTTTAATGATTTTAACTTGTCTTTTAAAAATTATATAAAAAGCTCACCAACTAAGCACTCGATAATAATATTAACACCGATCCGGTTTTTCGATCAAAATTTTCATCAACGTAAACATGACGAGTTCACGTAAGCATGATACGTGGACTTTAGCAACCATATAGAATCCACGTAAATAATGAGATGGAAAATCAATTACGTGGATCGTACATGACTTACTAAAGTCCACGTGTCATACTTCATCATCTCGCCACATCAATGTTGGCGAGAATTTTCAATCAAAATTTCGTTAACACCGGCATGGTAGTTCATGTAAGCATTACACGTGGACTTTAGCAAGCCACATAGGATCCACGTAAGCGAGTGACATGGGGAATCAATTTTATGGATCCTACATGGCTTGCTAAATTCCACATGTCATGCTTTGTCACTCGCCATATCGACTTTAATCAAAATTTTGATTAAAAAATTTAATCGATGCTAATATTGTTATTGGATGCTTAGTTGATGACATTTCTATACATTTTTTTAAAATGAGCTAAAATCATTACAACATGTATAGTTTGTGATTTTCCGAAATATTAAGCCTTAATTTTATAGCAAAAAGTAACTTCGTTACTTAAAAAAATGTTAACTATCCAAGACAAGATCCAAATTTTTTTTATTCAACCTTATAATCAATGAGAGCGTGAGAATCAAGGCAATAAGATTGCTTTTGGTATCTTTGAGGCTAGTGTTTCTTAAAGCTAAAGGGACTAATTTATGATTATTATTTTTTTTTTTTAGGAATAGGGATGGTACCCGAATACCATAGATGAAATATGGAAGAACACAAGGGGAGACAAATCGACCAATCCCAACATACTAGGGGGCAAGGAAGCCTAAACATTTGAAAAATTATAGGAAAGTTTCCGAAAAATACTAGGTTAAGTTACGTAATAAAATAAACACATGATAGTGACTAAGTCTAGCTTACAAGAAAGGAAAACAAAACTAAGATATAATAGTAACTATCTCCTAAACCTAGTTAGGCCCATGCAATCCTCTTGAAGTGCCATATGAGTTGACACAAAAAGAGAAACTATTGAATGATAAATTTCCCGATCTCCATATACAAAGGCATGATCCGCTAAATGATTAGCTATGAAGTTTCCTTCCTTATAAACATGCAACAAATTACATGAGCCAAGTAGGAGTTTGCATTTGCGAAGAGAGTAAATCGGAGGCCATGGGAGTACATGTAATCCAAAAATAGAATCAACCACCATTTTTTAATCAAGCTCAACATAGTGTACTCGGTATATTGTTACTCCCGCAAAGTTCCAAACCATCCATAACATCATAGATTTCTCCCCGGTTATTATGACTCGCACCATAGGAGGAAAAACCAAAGAAAAAATTACCAAGCCAATCCCTCACCACGCCACCACCAATACATAAACCATCCCTAGTAGATCTATCATAGTTTAATTTGAACATATATGTAGGTGGTGGAGACCAAGAAATCCACCGTCCTCTAGGCAATGAAGGGTGAACTAAAGGGATATTTAGAACTTGGATGTTAAGCTTATCATGAAAGCTAAGACTAGATCGTGAAATGAATATAAATTAGAGATCATAAAGCCATTTCTTCACCTTGAATATGATCACATCCGCATTCATTGTTGCATCATCAAAAAATGCTTTGTTTTGTGCTTTTCATATTTCCAAGAGAATGCAATGAAAAGCCACTATAACACCCATCAATTGAGACACCTCACCCGAAAAGTCACAATCGAACGGGTTGATATTAAAAATATATCCTTTTTATTTTCTTAAAATTAAGTTCCTAATTTAGTCTTATTTATCTTTAAATATGTCAATTTAAAATATGTCATCAATAATATATAACCATAATATTTTCTTGTTAACATAACGAAAGTGTTACTTCAAAATTTTCTCATTTATAAAACATCTCTTACCATAATTAATCATTCCTAAATAATCTTGTCTCAATATTCATACTCAAATTCTAAGAAAAAAATTTTGAATTTCATAAGTTTAACATCATTGCACTTATTATTTTAAAAATAAATATTCATTTAAAGCATAACCTAATTGTTAGGAACACGCAAAGGCGAGCACATGAGTCACTAGTCATCGAAATTAGCATCAACATCCTCAACATTTGCATCATTACCCGCACCACAAAACGAACGTGAGATACAAATATCCCAATAAGTGTAACATGCATGATTTACATTAAAACTTTTTGTAGATGAATATCTTTAAAATTATTTTCCTCATTTGAGCCATCTAGAAGATACTAACACAAGTTAGTAAGGTGCCTCAATAAAAACATGCATAAAACATTAACCTCATCATTTAACAGATCAAACCCGAACCTTTAAACCTCAACATTTATGCCTCGATAGACAACCTCAACATTTAAACCTCAATGTGCATTAAAAAAATAACCTCATTTATTTACTTAAAACATTTTCTTTCAATCAACATGTAAAATATATGTATGCATGTGAATGCACCTCAAGACCATCACATCATATCAATCACATAAAAATACGTAGCATTTACGTCTATAATATAGGTAAGTTACACTTACTTGATTCGCTTAAGATCATTGTTTATCGTTACCTTTCTCTAAAAATTAATGCCTTGAGTTTATTCAATACCTTGAACATACACACCATATAACATACAAAATTGAACATTATTATTTTATCTCTAATCATTTAATTTTTATTAATTTCTATTCTTTCATTCTAATTTATTTTAAATTAAAAATCCTAATTAAATCATCAACTTTGTTCTAGTTTATTCCATTCTCCTCTAATTATATTCATGTAATCTAATATTATTAAATTTTAACTTAACCTTTTCAATTCTTATTTAAATACACTTCATCATCGAATATTCTAATAAAAAAATAAGATTTTAATGCTAAAATATAATTTTTACATAATCAATCCTAAGAGATGAAATTTCAAACTCAATTCTACCTAAAATCATATAGAAACTAGTAATTAAATTTAAATATTTTTCTTATCTTAAATATTTAATTACCAAGACTTGAATCTTCTTTGAAATACCTTTGACTTCATTTCTTACTCAATTATATTATCTTTCTCTCTCTCTCCCTCTCTCTTGAAATATAAGTTTATGAAATGGCTTTTCTAAATGAGGAGAATGACACTTTATATATAGTTATGGAAAGTTGAAACATTTGAGAATTTTAAGTGCATGAATTAAAAATAATAAAAGACCATTAACTTTCTTTTTTTATAGCCACGAAGTGGCTTTCTTTCATGACCACTAACCTTTTTTTTTATAGCCACTTTCATTTCTTTCATAGCCAATAACCTTTTTCTTTTATGGCCACTTTCTTTTCTTTCATGGCCATTCATGTCTCCTCTTTAATTTTAATATATGTTTCAAAACTTTTGCTCTTCTTTCATAGCCACTAATATTCCATTTAAAATGTATTAAAACCTATTATTATTTTATTAATTATTATTACTATTTTAATTTTTTAATTTCTAATAGCTTAGGCTAAGATTGTAGGACTAGTTTATATCCATAAAAATACTATCTACAATATCCAAAAATATATATTATATCCTAAAACTATATACCTAATCATTACATCATCTAACACACATAAAAAAAATATTAAATTACATACACAAATAAAGCACATTTGTACACACATACACACAATATATGATCATGTAAATTTTTTGAGTATTACAGCCATCATCCTTAAAAAGGATTTTTTATGGTGAGAACCAGATTGCGTATCCACTTACTAACTAAGCCTTGTAGGTTATGGCATACAATGCAAATGTTTATGATAAGGCCAAAGTAGTTCTAAATTTTTGTAGCAATATCACCATACATAAACAAATATACAATAAACTTCATTGAAGGTTTTTTAAGGCGAGTGGTAGTGAGAAGGCATAGCCATGCCACATTGTTGAACGTTTCGTCCA